AATTCAAACATGATAAAATTGATAATTCAGTACACATGAACAATCCAAAACATTCTGAATACATTGCACATACACCTATTACACATTATCTCTCATTAATAAATATATCAATAGTGAACATTTGGCTCATGCTATGAACCATTAATAAAACTGAAAAATGCATGTGTACAAACTTCCACATATGTTGAAACTGTGCTGTTTGATAGCAATTTCCTACAGTATTATTTGAATGATTAAGAATGTTTGTTTCAGTTCTATTATTCTCATTCACTTACTTTATTTTATAATAAAAATCAAATCTGTAAGCTAAATATATCAATAAACAGAATTACCTAGTTGTGCCTTAACTCTGAAGAGTAAAAAATAATAATTAATTACTAGATAATGGTAATATAACAATATTAACCCCTACGATCCGGATGACATGACCATCATATCATGAATAAATTTGGCTTGACGGAGGGTGACAGGAACGTGCCTCTTGGGAAAATTTGGCTGAAGGCCAGGGTGACACAAATTTGCCACAATGAGAACTTTGGTTGATGGACAGAGTGATTGGAATGATTCGCCATAAGTACACAAAGCTCTTGGAGGGTGATTAGACTTAATGGACATTTAAGAAGGCTTTTGCATTATTTCCAACAATAAACAAGTGTGGAATGAACCATCCATGTGCCATGACTGGAAGAGCAGTGGCACTAGAGATGATGCTATAACATTGCAAAGGGGGGGCATGGAGTCTTGTAACCACACGCAAGTGTACCCAGCCTACAAGCCACACACCCATCAGAGTGGACACTAAAGTAAGCCTAATACCTGTATTTTGAGCCATGTGGTGGCAATGAAGCATCCGGATCCAATGAGTTAATAATGTATATGGAGTACAAGGCCATAATGCAACATAGTAATATGCAACTTAACCCATTATAAATACAGATATGAAATAAATGACCCTTACAGATCCAATATGTCTTCCATGTGAATCAATGGAGAAACTAGGTAGATGCTCCTGGGTGATATAGAAGTAACACGGCCACTTGTTAAACATGGGATGACTTGAATGGTGGAGGTTGTGTCTTATCAAGTCAAGTCCATGCTCTTCTTCAGAAATGTCTGCCATCTCCACATCTTGCTGAAAGCTTGGATCACACTGCGTTATGCCACACGCAACAAGTGATATATGTTGGTTGTCATGCACTAAAAAGTCCTCAGAGGGACCAGCTGCCCCTTCAGTTTCACCCAAGACAACAGATTCACTTTGAGTTTCAACATCAGTATCATGCATAGAATCCATCTGATGTCCCTCATCACTGCTGATTTTTTCTCCAGACTCATCAACACATAACTTTCCTTGTTCATGTGACACAGATATATCTGAGTCCTTATAACTCTTGCCTGATAATCTTTCATCCATATCATCTACTCTATTCAACAATTGATTAGTACTACTACTGGAATTTACTGCTCCGGATTCCTCTTGATCACAAACTGCAGCTTCACACACTCTTTTCTCTCCAGAACCTTTTTCACTTCCCAGAGAGACTGATGATTCATATTCAGAATCTCTCTGAGAGTCACTCCCAGAGGAACCACTATGTTGTCCTCTCACTTGCATTCCTCTTCTGGTGTCACAGAGGTCTGGCAAACTTGCACCCGTACTTTTACTATTTCCTTCAGCTAATAACTCTTCTGTAGCATCTGAAGGTGGGTCAGGAGGATAAGATGGTAAACCCCAAGCACCATCTTCCTCCATCACATCACCTTCCATCTGAACTTGTGACAAGCTTGTTACAAATTTGGTATCACAGGCAGCTTGAGCAATTGTAGCTTCAGCATCTTCATCACAAGAGCTGTCACTGGGTCCATGCACGAGGTCACATTTGCGTTCTTCGCCAGTACAGAGATCTGGTGGAGGCATCATGGCCTCCTTCTCCCGACTGCTCTCATCAACACACATCCCAATCTTCTTCTTGATGCTATTTGGGAGGTCCTCCTTCGCCGCCCCAGTACCATGTGGTAACTTCCTTCGTCCCAAGCACTCTGGTGAGCAAGAGAGCCCATCTGCCAAGGAGACAGGAGTCTGCGCTGACTCTACAGGAGAGGAAGTTGAAGGCAACATTCTACCACAAGGTGGCCTCCAAGATTCACAAAGTCACTTTTCCCAACTTTTTTTCATTATGCAATTTGAGATTAAAGGGGGTACTTGGAGAGAGTAAACAAAGAATCTTCACAAGAAGTTGATACACCTGCTGTGTTCACATGTGTGGCATTTCAAAAGGCATAGATCATGATATTATGAAGCGATATTCTTTAATGTGGATAAATACTATTCCACAGCTTCTCTGAAAAGTTTGTCAGAATATCACTTTTTTATCACATGCTATAATAGAGTTCTGTGATACAAGTGAAAGAGTCCCACATTATCAATGCATATCTTCAATGACTGAAGCATCTCCCTCTTTTCCTTTGTTTCTCCAGTTTCCTCACAACTTCACAACACCTGCAAGAGAAGATTCATCGCATTATTTTCTCATTGCGCAACAACATTGTCACATAACTACATTTCCCTTTTCATGGCATTTTCTATTAAACATCTTTCCGTGAAATTGCTCATACTCCCCAAAATGTGTACCCATTCCTCAAAAAAATTTGGGAAAGTTAAACATAATTTTATGTAACAAATCTTTGTGCTGTGAAATTCACAGAAACTAAAGACTAGTATTGCAAACAGTGAAGTACACTTACATTCACCTCTATTAAACTGCATGCATAGCACATTCATAAATACAAGTATTTCCTAACAATAGATCTCTTTAAAGCTAATGATCCTTATTTCAAATTTTCAAATTTGTTTCTTATGCTCTCTAAGACTTCAGATGAGGGTTATATTTTGGTCAAATTTTCACTTCAAATTTACGCGCATAGGCAAAAACAAAAGTCTAAGGAAAGAATGATGTAAAAGGTGATGCTTAGTGACAGTGGGAAAAGTTGTAAAATTTGAAAAATGGAAAGAAACAAGATCAAGAAAATGTAACCAATATTGTAAATTAATAGGCAAACAAATGCTAACAGATTAAATTATTGAAAGGACAATTTTCCTTCTTTGAAATACCTAACAGGGCATTTGTGAAGTTGTAAGGATATTCTATTTCGATGTATTTAGTTTTTAGAACGGAAAAATAGGACTAACATGCTACAGGACCTTATAACTGAAAAGTCTAAATATTTTAAAAATATACTGCCCATATTTTCCTGCTCATGATATTTGTGTAACTGTACGTAAGCTCTCTTTCAGTTATTTTAAGTATCTAAACGGTTCATCCTATACACAACCGATCCAATCTTTCCGAGACCAACCCAGACCATTACAACCTATTTATTTTCAATTAACCAAATGTAGACATTCGTAAACAAGGGAAACTATGTGCATATTCAAAATAGACAAGGGCCAAGAGAATAGTACATAGATAAAACAGATGTAACAACATAATAAAAAGTAACTGACGAGAAAAAACCTTTTTAGTAAACAAACATCATAGTACTACAGAGATGAGCAGCGTGGCAGGTGGAAGAGCGAGGGGAAAGGCGAACTGGCAGCGAAGGAGCGGAGGAGAGGCCAACCGTAGGAATGGGGAAGGAGGGTAGAGGGTGGAGGAGGAAGCAAGGAGAGGTGAGGAGCATGGCGGCGAGAGGAAAGCGGGAGAGGAAGATCACGGAGAGAGTGAGGACGACTAGGCGAAGACGGAGGCGAGGCGGAGGGGGAGATGGAAGGGAAGTCGTGCAGCGGACGGAGGGAGGAGAGGGCAGATCGCCGCGGGAGAGGCGTCTGAGGTGAAGGCGGGGAAGGAAAGAGGGCGAGAGGAGAATTTTGTTGTTTTGGCAGACGCGGGTGGAGGAGATGGATCGTGAGGAGGAAGAGGAAGGGCGACCGACATGATTTAAGAGAACAGATGGTGGATGAGAGCAGGTGAGAGACGGGAGGAGGGGAGAGAGCGATGGAGAGAGGAGAGAGGGAGGCCAGAGAAAGCGAGGAGAGAGGAGAGGAGGAGGAAGGAGAGAGAGAGAGGAGAGACTAGAGGACGGAGAGGAGGGAGGGAGAGAGAAGAGGAAGAACGGAGAGCAGAAAGAGTGAAGAGGAGGGAGATGGAGTGGGAGGGAGAGGAGGAGGGAGCAGAGGGAGATGCGGAGGAGACTGAGGCGAGGCATGCGAGAGAGAGAGAGAGGTCGAGAGCGAGAGGATAGTAGAGAGAAGCGGCGAGGGGGGGAGAGACGAGAGGGAGCGGATGCGGATGAGAGAGGGAAGAGGGTTCAGACGGAGGTGGAGACCGAGAGGAGAGAGACTGTGGCGGAGAAGAGAGAGAGGAGGAGGAGAGAAGAGAAAGGAGGAGGAGGAACGGAGGAGACCAAGCCCGAGGAGAGAGATGCGAGAGAGGATGGGGAGAAGAGAGAGTAAGGAAGAGACCGACGAGATGATGCGAGCAGAGAGGGAGTGAGTGACCAGAGAACCGAGGGACGAGAGAGGAGAGAGAGAGGAGAGAGGAGAGAGAGAGATGAGAAGAGAGAGAGAGAAGAAATGAGAGAGGACCGCGGCAGTGAGAGAGAAAGAGGAAGAGAGAAAGGACAGAGAGAGAGAGGAGAGACGAGAGGAGAGAGGGAGACGAGAAGACGGATGAGGGTAGAAAGGAGGAGGAAGAGGGAGAGAGACAAGAGAGAGGAAGAGAGAAAGAGAGAAGAGAAAGAGTGAGAGCGAGGATAAACGAGCGGAGACTAACTGACTGAAGGGAGAGACGAGCGAGAGAGAGAGGAGAGCAAGAGAGGGAGAGGAAGCGGCAACAGTAGAGTAGGCAGGAAGAGTGAGAGCGAGGAAGAGAGGAGAGAGAGGAAGAGAGAGAGGAAGAGATGACTGAGAAGATTGACGGAGGAGAGAACTGGAGGGAGAGAGAGACGAGGAGAATGAAATGAGAAGAAGAGACAGCAGAGAGAAGAAGACAGAGAAGAAGGAAAGCTGAGAGAGAGAGAGAGAGAAGTAGAGATAGTGAGCAGAGGAGATGAGAGAGAGAGAGAGAGGAAGAGGAGGAGAAGAGGAGGGAGGAGTGAGAGAAGAGAAGAGACGAAGAGAGGAGAGAGAGAGTAGAGGGAGCGGGAGGAAAGGGACGAGGAGAAAAGGAGAGAGTCGAAAGGAAGGGAGAAATGAAAGAGAGAGAGCAGGAGAAGAGAGAGAGAGGAGAGCAGAGAGAAGAGGAGAGATGAGAGGAGAAGAGGAGAGAGCGAGAGCGAGAGAGACCGGAACGAGGAAGAGAGAGAGAGAGGGAAGAGGAGAGAGATGAGAGAAGATAGAGAAGAAGAAAGATTATGAATACCATACATATACATTAACATAAACATATATAAATATATATATATATTATATATATATAATATATATATAATTAGAAGAGAAGGAAGAGGAAGCGGGAGAGGGGCGGGAGAGAGAGACGAGAGAGGAGAGAGGAGGAGCGAGAAGGGAGAGGGGAGAAGCATGGGAGGAGAGAGAGCAGGAGAGACGAGAGATGGAGAGCGAGGAGAGAGAGAGAGAGAGGAGAGAGGAGAGAAGGATGGAGACGAGGATAGAGAGAGGAGGAGGGGAGCGAGAGGAGGAAGGATGGGAGGGGAAGGAGGAGGAGGAAGGAGGGGGAGGGAGACGAGGGAGAAAAGAAGAGAGAGAGAAAAGAAGAGAAGAAAAGAGAGGAGACGAGAGAGAAGGAGAGAGAGAGAGAAGAGAGAGAGATGGAGAGCGAGCGAGGCGAGAAGGTGCGAGCGAGCGAAGGCGAGGAGAGAGAAGAGAGAGAGAGAGAGAGAGAGGGAGAGAGAAGAGAGAAGAGAGAGGGGAGGCTAAACAAACCGACCCAAAGGGCCGCAAAGGGAAATATCGGGAAGATGAATCAGACCCACACGAAGGGCGACGGCCAGGGCGCCACCAAAGGGCCAGTTTAATTCGCTTCTGCACAAAGCCGGCTGGTCTGATCTACCCCATCTACAGTGTTACCAGATACAGCCCAGGTTGCTTTCCATGACAAGAGATGGACGGGTAAGATTTTTGGCAGAGGATTGGCCACGGGCGAGGATAGATAGGGGGGGATACACGGAGCCAAACACCGAAGATGCGCGCGACCGAACAGATTCATGGCGGGTAGATTGCATGCCAGGGAGACGTAGGGGAGAGAAAGACCTCCAGCAGGAGTGAAGTGAGAGTCGGCTCATCGTTTTCAATAGGGCGCTAAGGAACCGTAATAAAGAAGGGTTAAAGTTATTAATGAACCGCTCCTTATTACAGCTGATCGAGTTGTCAGCGTAGTGTTGACTCAGCGCTTACGAGGAACTGGTACCGCCCTCATTAACGACCACCGCCGTCTCAGGCCTCTATACATCATTACTGCCAACCACCTCATACTCACACCTCACATTCACTGGCCAAAATCGCCCCATGCTCTTCATTTTGGTACGTAATACGCCACTAGCAGTAGGTCGGTCGAATGGCGTGGAAAGTATCAGCTTTCTCAACCCTCGCCCCCTCGACCCTTCCTTCCATCAGTATATATTTTGTACCGCCGTTACGCCCTCGGGCCCACCCTAGCCTACACGCTTCCTTCAAGGCGTATTCCATTTACACTGGCGTTCCATGAGTCATTTCCTTCACTTCAACTCTGACCTTTCTCTCTGCCTGGACTGTTCGCTTGCACACTCGATCTCTGTATCACTTCCACCTTCCTCGCCGCTCTCTCCTGCCTGTTGCACGCATTACATAATCATCATTAAGACTCCTTCACCTTGGCTTTCTTGGCATCGCTATGCAGTCTCATCCTATCTTCAATGGTTTACACACGCATAGATATCCTTTTCACCCTATTTACTGCCTTTATCCTACGTGAGAGCGTCCAGGACTACACAGCTCTCATTATGCACAGCCTGTATCACTCTAAAAGAAAGCTTGATGCCGTTATGCAAATCCTCAATAATTTTACAAATAGCATATCGCAGCAGGTTTCCCTCTCTTTACATCCGCACCGATTTCCAAGCCAAAAATAGCGATGCCAAAACCATTAACACCCTTCCCTCAGTTCCCTATCCTTCCCACTTTCCCCCAAACCAGGCATTCTGACCCTTAAACCACAAACCTTCTAACAGAAGCCCAAGCAGCGCCAATAGCATACGGACTGTAAACAACAAAGTGCCTATATCAGTCGAGAGGCTAATAAAGAAAGTCGATATTCCGACAATGTTCTCGAGTATTTCCACTCAAACTGCTGGACCTGAACCGGGTTGGGAGAACGATTCCAATGGTCAATCTGTGATGGGATGTGCTGTACACTTACACATGTACTATGGTAATTCAAGTTCAAGTTCCACACAATTGCTGCTTATACATACAAGTTCATCCTAACGCGTTTCCTCCTATTTATGGATAAAGATAACAACAGTACCACAAAAGTGAAGTGCTATAGGGTTTATGATCTACTTCTG